TGTATGTATGCATTTGTGTCTTTAGTTATTTGGACAGATACTTATTCAACATGAGATGCTGTGGTTAAGGCTTGAGTTTCTCTGGTGTCCGTTATTTGTCAATGGGTGTGCTTTATGACAGCTACCTGTAATACCTACAAATATTTTATCCTGAATTTTTTACAATTAATAGTTAAGGTCTTTCAACTGATATTATCAGTAAGAGACAGCTATTTGGGAATCCCTAATGATTTCAGTGATTTACCAGCAATGCTTTCTTATTATCTAAGATGAATTTGGTTCATAAGACTGTGGTAAGTTGTCAGTGATGGAAAAATGCAATAATTTTTTTCAAACGACTTTGAAAGTGACTCTTCTATGTCAAATTGCTGCTATGTCATGCAGTTTCGCTGCGAACTAGATGCTCAATGTCAGCAGGACTCGTACTGGGGATATCAGCTAGGGCTGCTTCTTGTCAACAACACCCATGGAAAAGCAGGTTGCTGAGAGAATGTAGTTGTGTGGAGATCAAAAGGACGAAGTTGATTTATTTAGATTTCTCCCTTCAGCACTGTTAGTCTGGTGTTTTCTGTGATGGATGTGACACTCCAAGAAATATTCATAATTACTGAATTAATTAATTAATTTTTAACTAAGAGAAACTTTGAATATGCAGATAGCAAGAATTGGGAGTCTTAAAAGACAGAACAGTGTCTCATTAAACCAAAACTATAGAAAAAGGAGTTCTACTGGAATATTTACACATTTTGGACTTGTTTCAATGCTAATGTAAGTGATCGAGGCCAGCAGCATTTTTATGTGCATCTAATAGTAGCCAAACTCATTGAAGGTTACTCTCTCCCCCTTTTCTTTTGTTTCTTTTTTCAACAATAACAACAAAAGCTAAAGCACAACATGGCTTAAGGTTGCTCTTTGTAGAACATTTCCACATTCTAATCTTCTAACTAATAAATCTTACCCCCTTCCCAGTTTTAAGAAACGTTTTTGGCAAGTAAGAAATAGAATCTAGAAATTTCCAAAAAGGTATATCAATGTTTTTTTTTGTGTGGGAATTCTAGTGCTTTCTGCTTCTTTAGTTATAACTTGCTAATGTATTGTATCAATTTGTCATGAGCAGCATTTATTATTAACATATTCACCTACTCTTAATATACACCTACAGTTTTCATTATTTTGTTCCTAACCCCTAGGCTCTGAATTCAAGTAGAAGCTGCCCAATCCCACACTTGTGAGAGTATCTAAGATACATGTGCAGTCTTTAACAATGCTGGCTACCACTGCAGAGTTTAGTGTTAGGCTGTGTAAATAGGAACTCCCAGTACAGCAACACAATGAAAATCTCAGAATAAAGGACATTTGAAAGAGTTCTGTTCAGTCTGAACTTGACAAGTGAAGTCTTCAATGCTGAGCTTGTGTCGTCTATAAATAATAACTCCTGATGTTTGCATGAATTCGATCACAGAGCTTCAGTAATTAAACAGCGTGGCAACGCTTCCTGCGTTGTGAGTCTGAACCTCCTCTTCGTCCCCCTTTCGCACTAAAATGATTAAATCCTTTCTAATTCTCTATTCAACATTCCAGTGACATCCATCACTGCCCTGTTTGCCCCTATTAAATGTTTATGAGCAAAAAACAAGATGGCACACAATAGTACAACATTTTTTTATTTACATTTCATTTAGCTTCTGTATTTTTAGCTCTTTCACTTTACTTTTTTACTGTACCTAATTGTATTTCAATTGATTTTCCCACTGAATCCCTCTCCTGTCATCAGCAGAGATAAAGATCACTCTCTTGAGTTGTTAAAACTTCTGACATATCCTTTACCTTACTATCCAGTGCAGCCAACTTCATAAGACGTCGCTGGCCTGCTTTTAAAGCACTAATCTGAACTCTAGCAGAAAACCTCTGTCTGAGTGTTGTCCTATCTTAGTTGTACTCTTTTTTCTCTCTACGTAGTCCCATCCCCCACCATCTCAATAGGCTGCAGAGAAAATTGCCCATTCCCCATAGAATATGCTGTTCTGATTCTTGCAGTTAAACATAGCCGATAAGCATTTCATGCTAAATATAGTTTGTCTGATTAAGGACTGGAGCACTGCTGCTGTGTCAGTTCCCGATCTGTGCAGCACTGTGCATTATCCAGGCAGCAGGATTTGTTTTCTTGCACGAAAATGCTGCAATGCGTCTCGGAATGTCAGGACTGGGTCAGTGTGACGGGGCTGCCGGCAACAGCCAGCCAACCATCTCCATAGCAACAGCCAATAGCATGGTGGCGTTTGCTGACTGAGGAGATGCGACGTTGTTGTGGCAGTAGTGCATGGAAGTGTGATTAGCTAATTAGGTTTTCTAAAAGTGCCAAAAAGATAGCATTTTAAAAAATTCAGACTGAGACACGTAAGGCCGTATTGAATCATAATTAGGGTGACACTTGTTGGTTATTTAGTTTTAACTGAGTTCTGTAAAAAAAAAGAGTGACCTTAAGAACTAGTTATGCTCTGATTGAAGGTTTGGTCTCTAGAGTTTTAATTTGCCTGTATTTATTTTTTTCCCAAATTTACTAGCAGGGATTGGCATAATATCATATGTCAGCATAAAACCTTTTTCTATTGTAGTTAGTAGTGTGGCACGTGTACATTTAGAACATATAATACTGTTATATGCTTATTTGAGCAAAACAAGAGGCAAGCAAACTCACCTTCAGCAAGCCTTTTAGCTTAAAAAGACGAATTTATGTTTTTATAAAAGGCATTTTTTTATTTGTAGAGTAATTGGAGAGAAATGATTAAATATTACTTAGAATACAGTTCTAATTAAGATTCTATAAACTTTGAAGGAAGTCACCTGTGTTTTCAATAAACAAAAAACTCATCAGCCACAATTAGAAAATCATCTTCTGTACTTGTACTCTGTACTCATTTTATCATATCACTATGCAGTAAAAAATAAGTTAAGACAAAGTTTTTTTTTAAACTGTGATTTCCATTCCAAGGATCTTCTGGGAAAACATGCATATGCTATGCAGTGCAGCTCTTGAATTTGCTCATCGTTGTTCCTCTGCATCACAGCCCACCAGTAGTTTCACAGCACTGTGATACCCGACCTGTCAGTCTGCGTTCTTCGTGAGAAATGGCATCTGCTAAGCCTCTGTTAGCCAATCAGACATGCCCTGGAGGATTTGTCTTCCTGGGAGAATGTTGTTGCACAGAACTCTACGGTGGCAGGTACGCTAGGACAGGCTTCAGGATTCAAAACGGGCAAAAATATAGGATTTTACTTTTCAGACTGTTGTACTTTTAAAATGAAATATTCAGTTGGTCACTTAATTTGCGGTTTGGGTGCCAGACAAGAGTCAAAGTTAGAGTGATTTCTCTATGCTATGTCAGATTTAGTGTAGGGTGAAAATCCTGTCTCACTATTCAATCTTTTACTTAGGTCTTCTTGCTGTAAATATGATTTTTAAAGACACTATAGGAGCTGTTACACTGTTATATATCCTATATGAGAACAAGAGACTTGGTACTTTTACTCAAAATACATTTTAACATTTTAAATTATTGTTCACAGGAACAGCCTTTAAGGCCTTTAACCCTCCTGTCTGGCAAGAGTCTGCAGTCTTCGCTGTTGGTAATGATTCAGGTTTCAAAATGATAACCCCCTGTGAGACAATAGGGTTTCCCTCCAGATGTTTCTTATGGCAATGTTATTTTACCCTGGCCTATTATTAGATTCTGTACTGGTATTTAAACAAAAGGAATTAAAAGATTATCTACACACTGGTGGCATGACAGAAATGCTGACATGTATCACAGCTAATCCAGGTGGGTGTTACAGAAGAGAAAAATTGACGCACTCTGCTGCAGACATTGCAGTAGGGCCCTGCTCTAACCTAGCCTTCTTCCTGCTGCAGAATGTTTAGTTGTTAGAAAAAAACTCAGCCAATTTAATTTCACTCAAAAGAAGGTTTTCTCTGGTGAAGTGAAACAAACGCAGCAGATTTGATTCTGCTCTAGGGAGTGATGATATAGTCAATCTCCACAGTCTGTAATAACCGCAGAGAGAGGCTTTCAGACACGGCGAATGGCATTACTGTCCTCTTCTGCACTTTAATGCATTTGTTTTCTGTTTTTGTAGAGACTTTTTAGTGGCCATGACAGGAATCGACTGATAAAACTGTTTGAGCGGTCCTCCATTTATCTGCAAAGCAGCTGCGTCATGACAAAGCGCCATAAGATCATTCTGAGACTTTCCTATTAATGTTCCTCCAAAGTGCCCTGATGACTCTTTTGGTGGAAAGCCAGTCCATTAGCACTACCATTTAAAAGGCTGTTTCATGTTGTGTTCAATGAAAAAAAAAATGCTTATTCTTGTAGAGATTTTTTTTTCTTTTAATCTATCAACTGGGGAATCAGAGCTGCATGTTTGCCTTCTTTCACAACATGGCCTTCGGAATCTGTATTTTAGATCAATTTTCTTGTTTGGTGTTTTGTTTAAATACTAACAGGAAATGTACACTTGTGTACTCTGATTTGATGCACACTTGTGAGCCATTGATTTAGGAATGTGGTGATCATTTGGAACGTCAGGTTTGAGCAAGCCTCAAATGACAGTTTGCCACTACAAGTAAGAACCCTATTTTGTGGTTTTGCAGTACGAAGAGAAGCTTTGTGAACCATATACTCTAAACATTTAAAATATAAACTGTTTATTATAAAACATAGTTTTTTAACATTGTTGACCTCTAATGAAGATGAGATGGCAGTAGATTTCAGGTCTGTCAAAACCCCCTGAGGGCAATTGACTGGTGTTCTGCACAGAGTATCATAAAATTAAACGTCTTCCAATTTCAGAACCAATATTGTGTTTATTAAACTTTAAAGATGGGGTGGTTCAAAATGTGCAATACATTTTTATAGGTATCATTAAGCCAAGGCAGCTTTTTTTGTCTATGAAATGTCAGTACCTTTCCTTATGTCTCTTTTTAACTCTGTCTTCCACAGGACAAAGAACTCTGCATCACAAAAGCGATGTCCTCGAGACGGTTGTCTTAGTTAATCCATCAGAGGATACCATTGCCTCTGAGGTAGGTTCCCTGTTGGCAGGTGACTTTGGCCTTCTGAGCCTTGCTGTCAAAATTAACAATACAAAAAGTGCCAACACAAGAAGAGCTTTGTTCAAGGTGTTAACTTTGAACCAGTTTAAGTAATAATTATTCTGTGAAAAGTTCCCACGTCTGCATATGTATATTAATGTATGCTGTAGACTACTCTCTAAAATTGTCTTTGATTTATGCTGTCATGATATCTGGTCCAGTAACTTAATGCATGTAGGTGGATATCTAAGTTATTGCAAATAATATACAAATTATGTGATGCAATCTGATGGTCATCATGCTGGTCTGTATTTAACACATTCCTGTCAACCTCTCTACACCTGTCTAGATCCACTCTCTGATCACTGACTCAGCTGCACACAAGCTCCTAGTCCTGAGTGGCCAGAGCTCTGATCAGGGAGGTGACCTTATCTTACAAAGTGGGGTATTCTCCTTTAAAAACTTCTCAGACATCTTTGCTGATCCTGAGGTAAGTAACAATTTTTTTACAATCGTTTGTCACATGGACAATTTCAATGTAATATACCATGTTAAATGAAAGTTATAAGGCACAGTGTGTTTAGTATCTAGTTTTTTTGCATGGGTGCAGTAAATTAATTTGGACTGAGAATACTAAAGGACCAATCCTGTTTCTGTCTTTCATCTCACAGGTGAGTAACCTGCTGGGCGGAGCAGCCCCAGAACACCAGGCCACTCTTACGGTGATCTGTCAAGGGGAGGGGGGCTGGAGCTCCCTGGGGCAGCAGCATCAGCACTTTCGGGAGTTCTTGGACTTCAGACTGAACCCTGACCCTGTGCTGCCCGAGATGGAGGGCGTTTCGGAGTTCACAGAGTATGTCTCCGAAACTGTAGACGTGCCCTCACCTTTTGACCTTCTGGAGCCCCCTACCTCAGGGGGATTTCTAAAGCTCTCCAAGCCCTGCTGCTACATTTTCCCTGGAGGGCGAGGGGATTCTGCACTCTTTGCAGTCAATGGCTTTAATATCCTCATTGATGGAGGCTCCGAAAGGAGATCATGCTTCTGGAAGCTCGTTAGGCACTTGGATCGTATCGACTCTATTCTTCTTACACACATTGGAGCAGACAACTTGCCAGGTATAAATGGACTCCTCCAGAGAAAAATAGCAGAGCAAGATGAGGAGCAGTCACAGGGATCCACCACCTATAGTGACTGGATGAAAAACTTGATCTCACCAGAGCTTGGAGTGGTCTTCTTCAATGTTCCTGAGAAGTTACGAATGCCTGAATCCACGCTGAAAGTGAAACGGAGCATTGAGGAGGCTTCCCTCACCTTGCAGTACCTCAATAAGCTTGGGATCAAGCCTGAGCCCCTGTATAGAGTAGTGAGCAACACTATTGAGCCCATCACTCTTTTCCACAAGATGGGTGTAGGCAGGTTAGACATGTATGTGCTTAATCCAGTCAAGGACAGTAAAGAAATGCAATTTCTTATGCAGAAGTGGGCTGGCAACAGTAAGGCTAAGACTGGAATAGTACTGCCCAATGGAAAGGAAGGAGAGATATCAGTTCCTTACCTGACATCAGTCACAGCTCTGGTTGTTTGGCTTCCTGCTAGCCCCACAGAGAAGATTGTCAGAGTCTTATTCCCTGGAAATGCCCCACAGAACAAAATCTTAGAAGGTCTGGAGAAATTAAAGCACCTGGACTTTTTGAGATACCCAGTGGCTACTCAGAAGGATATTTCCTCTGGAGTACCTCCTCCAGTGTTAAAACAAACTAAGATGAAGCAAAGGACAGATAGCAAGGAAAGTCTTAAATCATCCCCTAAGCCTCAAGCTTCAACAAAAGTTTCTAAGAAAGAGGCAGATGCTCAAGATGAAGCTTCAGTCGCTGAAACCAAAACTGAGCCAGCAAAAGAGAACAAAAATGAAAAGAAAGAGGAGAAAAAACTGAAGGAAGGAGATAAAATCACAGTCAAGTCACCAAAAGCCAAGACAGAAACAATTGAGGCTGCAAAGCTGGAAAAGAAGAAGCTATCAAAAGAGAAGACCATAAAAAAACATCCTAAAGAAAGGGTGTCCAAAATGGATGAGAAGAAAGACAAAGAAAAAAAAGAGATCAAGAAAGAAAGGCGTGATGTGAAGAAAGAAGATGCTGTTAAAAAAGAGGAGAAGAAAGAAGCCAAGGCGAAGGAAGACAAAAAGAAGGAAACTGCCAAGCCAGAGCTAAAGAAGATAACTAAACCTGACCTGAAGCCATTCACTCCTGAGGTCAGGAAGACGCTGCATAAGGCTAAAATGCATGGCAAGCCCAAAACTGATAAAACTAAAGCCAAAGCAGCTAAAGAACAGTCCACTGAACAAAAGCCTGTTGAAGGTACAGAAGAAGGGCTCGTGGGTTCTGAGCCTCAGCCTGAAGTACAACAGCCTCCTCTAGCACTGGAAGACAGATCCATTGTTTCCTCCCCAGAAGATCTAACCAAGGATTTCGAAGAGCTTAAACAAGAAGTCACACAGCTGGGAGAAGAACCAACAGAGGATACTTTAACAGTGTCCAAGCCACCAGCAGATGACACTTTGATCCCTAGCCCTTACCAAGAGGAAGATACAGAAGAAAGGATTGTCTCACAAATCGTAGAAGACAAAAAGTTTCCTCCTTTGGAGTCCCCTGATGAGGGAATTACAACCACAGATGTTGAAGCCGAATCTCCACATGATGAAAAGCAAATTTCACAGGAAAAAGAGCCAGAAATGGCATCAAAGATAGGAGAGAAATTTGAGGATGAAGGCACAGCAATGGAGGAAGAGGAGGAGGAAGAGCAGGAGGAAGGAAAAGAAATAGCTGAAAAGAAGGAAATAGAGGATGAAGAGGATATGGGAATGGGGGAAGAAGAAGACGGAGGAAAATGGAAGGAAACACAGGAAAAAGTGGATAGAAAGCATGAGGAAGAGGAGATGGAAAAGCGTGAGAAATATACTGAAAAGTTTGAGATGAAAGAAAAAGAGGAACCTAGGAAAGCTGAACTAGAGGAAGATGAAGATGAAGAAGAGGGAGACGTAGTTGAAAAGGCAGAGCTGGAGGAAGCAGAAGACTTAAATGAAACAGCTGAGGAGGAACTGAAGGTCACAACTGAGGGAAAAGAAAAACTTGACAAGGATGCAAAAACAACAGATGAGAAAATCTTTGCCAAAGAACAAGAAGATGAAGATGCGTATCTGTCCAACATAGCAGCAGCAACAGCTGCTGTCACTGCAACTGTACAAGGTGCAACAGCAGCTGAACACATCTCTTATATTCAGGATGAGACTATTCCTGGTTACTCTGAAACTGAGCAGACCATTTCTGATGAAGAAATTCATGAGGAAACAGAAGACAGAATACCACATCTACGCTATGAAGTTGGTTCCTATGATATTTCAGTTCCTGATGAAACAGGCTCATTTGATGCCATCCATGGTATGCAGGAGATGAAAGCAGCTGCTCTGACTGATGTATCAGATTTGGCAACAAAGGGCTTCATAGGAGGGCAAGATCCAGCATTAGCTGTGTACTCTACTAACATTATTGCAGCACCCTTGGCAGAAGAAGAGCACATTTCATCAGCCACTTCCATCACTGAATGTGACAAATTATCATCTTTTGCCACTTCTGTTGCTGAAGATCAGTCTGTAGCATCTGTGACAGCACCACAAACTGAAGAGACAGGAAAGAGCTCTTTGCTTCTTGACACGGTCAATAGTATCCCATCTTCCACTCGTACAGAGGCCACCCAAGGAAGGGATTACTTACCTTCTGCTGGGACTATTTCTCCTACTTCCTCCTTAGAAGAGGACAAGTGCTTCAAGTCCCCTCCATCAGAGGAGTACCAACCCATTGCAGTAGAAGGAGATGCTGCTGGGAGGATGACACAGCTCCATGAGGAGGAAGATGAGGAAGAGGAGGACGAAGAGGAAGATCAGACTCCTAATGTTGAAATGCCACTTGGAAAGCTCCAAGAAGGCTATGCATCTCCTTTGATGTTTCAGGACACAGAGAAGGATTCAGAAATATTTATATCATCTGAAAAACAACCTGCTTCCACATCTGCTATGGAGACCATTACCCAGCTAGCTGTGGATGACATCCAGACTTCTGTCTCCACAGGTGATACTAAGGATGGGACTTTTTCAAAGGCCTTTTCCCCTCCTCCCTCTCTTTCCAGTGCTTTGGTGACAGACTCTAGTGGATTTCCAGATACTGAGGAAAGATGCCTCAGTCCAGATGACAGTACTGTAAAAATGGCCTCCCCAACACAGTCTGGTCCTACCAGTGCAGGACACACACCTTTCCATCAGTCTCCTGTGGAAGAAAAATCAGAAATTGCCCCAGGACTGCAAGAGCACAAGAAAGATGAAAATGAAATAATTCAACAAGCAACCACAACAGAGGTATCTCCTGCAGAACAGGAGGAGGAAATAAAAGGCAAGGAAGACGCAGTCCTTGAAATTCCTAAAGAGGCAAAACCAGAGACGGTCACAATTCCAGATGTTGACAAATTATCATTGCTTGAACAGGACACTGTAGCAATGAAAGAAAGTCCACCCAGCCCTCTACCTAAAGACTTGCCACCACCCAGCCCTCTTCCTAAAGACTTGCCACCACCCAGCCCTCTTCCTAAAGACTTGCCACCACCCAGCCCTCTTCCTAA